GGGGGGGGGGGGATTACAGGCAAAGGAATGCGCCACCACTTCCCTGTGAGCGCGGTGGGCTTAATCCACAATCCTCATCACGTCTACGTGGTGAAACGTTGCCGCCGCTGGGGGAAGCCCACAGCAGTTAACTTTAAGTGAAACACTCTTGAATGCCAAGGAAGTGGTTAGAGTACCTAGAGTCAACTAGGCCCAATAGTAATCACAAGTTTTATTTATAGAGCACTAGTTGAACAAAAAACGTGAAGGATGGGATTGTGACATTGTTTTTAGCGTGAGCTGGAGACACGTGTCCTGTGACTGGAACAGATGGCTGACTCAAGTGGTTTTTTTTTTGTTGTTGTTTTTTTTAACTGTTATTTTAGACTTTTGTAACTTTCAAGATGTTTCTGACATAAAGCAAAAATCCTTTTAAATTATTTATCATATTAGAAATAATTCCATCATGTTTCATACATCAGATATTGAATAAGCAGCTTTAACTGAGTTTCTATTTGAGAACGCTGTGAAACAACTGTGTTTAAACTCGGAGCACATGACCAGTTTAAACGCTGTTGTTCCCACACACTTAACAGAACCTCTAAACCCACTTAAAAGAACAACAACGATGCTGCAACACCTAAAAAAAAAAAAAAAGAAAAAACCCAAAAAAACAAGTTCATGTAAAGTTACACAATTTGCCTTTTCAGGAAACCAAAGAACCGGATATGAACGTTCTGCTCGCACACTACAGGTACAGTTTACGCTCAGAGCTGCAGTTTAAACTAGGAACCACGAAAACAATGTCCAATCTAGCTTCAAACATGGGCGCAGCAAACTGAGAGGTTAGTGCCTTTAAAAAGTTAACAATGTGGCACCAAATGAAGGAAGGTTTTTCTCTTTATCAGGGGGATGCAGGGCCTGTAAAGACAGATCGAGTTTACAGTACGGGGCCGTTATATTACTTTTTTTGCTGCCGGGCTTTGCAGGAAGTTTACTTGATTGGCAGGGAGCCCTCTCTCTGGGTTGTTCTCTTTTACAGCCCTTTTATGAAATAACTGAGCCACAGTGCACTGCAACAACACTTGTGCAATACCTCAAGAGAGGGAAGCGAAAAGGGAAGTGGCTTCGGTGGCATGTGGCACCTGATCACCACCCCTATCCCTACCTCCCAACATACAAACACATGCACACGCACACACACGCACACACACACACACACACACACGCACACACACAGTCAACTGGTTTGTGAAATTTTTATTATGTCAGCTAAATCTGTGGCAATGTGACACAGGACTCTCGACTAACAGGTTCCACAGGGCAGGTCAACCATTTGGTGATGTGGAGATTCCTTTTTAGTTTGGCTTTGTTTTTTTTTGTAATGTGTGGTGAATAATCCTTATTTACTGCACATTATGTTTGTGTTTTCATTTGTTCCAGTGTTTCCCAGTGAGCGGCAGGGAGTTGCCCCTTTTTTTTTTTTTTTTTATGTTTTATGTGTGTAATTTAAAATCTTTCATAGTGAAACCAGTGTTGAAATAATGTGCCTTGGAGTGTCGTTTTTTTTTTGTGTTGGAAGGAAAACTATTATTTAATAGACACGTGACGAGAGTATCAGCTGATGTTAAGTGAGTCTTCCCCTCTGTCCCGGTTACCCCGTCTTTTCCTAACTAACAAGTTCACCCACTTGCAATCAAAGGGGCCTCAAGATTTATCGCTTTAATTTGGCAGTGAAAATGTCTAATGGCGGCTGTTACCAGGCGGAGGGCCCCTTGTTAGCACTTAGCTGGCTAACTAGAGTGACGGGCATCTGGCTGGGTGGCTGCCTGGCCGTGTGTACCCTGGATTCCTGCGCTCCCACTTTTCCTCCCCCCCCCCATTTGCCCCACGGTGACCTCACACAACTTCATTCTCCTTGAAGCAAGGCACCATGCAGGCATTTCCTGACAATTTATGTCCTTGTGCCACAAGCAGGGGCATGCCCTGCACTAAAATCCTATCCCTGGCCCATTTAGCACACGCCTCTTGGCCTCCCAGAAGACTGTTATAATGTTGCACCACTGTCTGTGAGGCGGAGTCATTACTTGCCAGTGGAAAGCTGATTTACGACTAATCACCTATATTTTACAGTAGTGCAAGCCCACAGACATGCATGTGTTTTTTCTTATCCTCCAGGCAGCCGTCGGTGTTCATTCATTTTTTAAAAACCAGATTAGATGTGCTTAATATGGAAGCCGTTCTCCGGGAACACACACACTCACACCTGGAAGCTGCCCAGTATAATCACAGTTTGATCTGCTGGCTACTGAGGGGGGGGCATGTGGGGCAGCTGGGGGTTAAGTGCCCCACTCAGGGGCACCTCAGTAGTGGCAGTGAAGGAAAGGAAATTGTAAACTGCAACTCACAACTTACTTGTGACATGATGTTCACTGCAATGGATTACACTCAAGTTTCAAGCAAGTTTCAACTGCATTGAAAATTGATTTTAACACATTACAGAAATTAATTTAGTCCTGGAAGGAAAGAAAGAAGAAATCTGCAACATTACAACATGTTTTGGGAAATAATCAGCAGTAACGTAAAGTATGCAGATGTGCATGTAGCAGAGAGAAGAATAGTTTTTATAATTTACTTTGAGCACTGGTAGTCTATGGGATAGCACATGATGGAGTCATGATTGCACTTGCATGGTCATAAAAACCGTCCCGGTAGTTTGCTGCAAGGGGTAATCAATGAGCTCAAATCAATGCATGGAAGGAATCCATTGCAGGTTAGCGGGGCAACTGTAGCACGTAAAAATAATAATTGTAGTCGAGCCAGCAGTGATGAATCAGGGAGTTAAAGAAGCAACAGAGGGACTATGTGATTAATGCAAATGAGGGACATCAGTGGGTGTGTTGGGGGATTCTGTCTACATCTCCACTACATGTCTTGTTCTCCAAAGGTTAAGTGGCTGCTTTTGCCAGCTAATTCGGCCATATGCTCATCTGTGCATTTGACACTGGCGCGCCATACGCTCACACTGCAAATTATGCCTCTTGAATATGCAGCCAATTAAGAGGGACATTGCTCGGCGGCTCAGTCTATTTAGTCTAAAGTTGTTACATGGAAATAAATCTTTTGATATCACAGATGAATCTAGGATGTTCTAGCTTTAAAGGTTGCATTACAGTGGCTTATGATCTTGTCACGCTCACTTGTGCAGCGTACCATCTTTTGCATAACTTGTTGCATAAGCACTCTACTGGCAGGCACACTCTGTCATGTACGGTCCATGTCATTTCTGCTTTTGGTAGGGCTTATTACAGTACAGGCCGTTCCCTAATGTCAGCGCGGTTGCAAAACCACACAAGCCATCTCTCCCTGACTTTTTTTTTTTTTTTTTCTGTCATCTAAGAATCGGCTTCCTGTTTTCATTGTGTTCTGTTTCTCTCTCTGGAGGTGTCGTAACCCAGGAGGCCGTGCCAAGAACAAACCAAGGTCTGGTCGGGAGAGATCACTCTGTGCTTGCACTGGAAACAGACACACAGGCTTGCACACATGCACGCCCATTTCACACGCACACAGTATCCAGATGTTAAATGTGTGTGTGTGTGATTATGTTTGTGTGTGTTTGCGTCTATTTGATGTGTGATGTGTGATGTGTATGGCATGTACAGTTCTTGTTGCCAAGCCATAAAAAGTCATTTGTGTGAGCCTGATCTGATGTGCCCTCTAACGGCACCCTGTGTGTGTGTGTGTGGGTGTGTGTGTGTGTGTGCATGCCAGGCTCCCGCCTCTCCTTTTATTGTTGTACAAGATTGTACACATTCATAAAGTATAGGTGAACATGGCATTCCAGACCGCTGCCCAAGGGCGAACGCACTTGATCTGCCAACATAAACAGAGGCAAAGTGTAATGGAACAAAAATGGAAGAGCACTCAGCAATAACTTAATGGTTTTCAGTCGTGTATATTAAGCTACACCCTAAATATATTTATTTGTCTCTGTAGTTTATATGTGCAGGAAGAATGTTCACTTTTAAAGATCCATTGATCTGGAACTTAGAGAAATTAGACTTACAGACTAATAGAGCTAATAGAGCAGACTAATAGACTAAGCCCCATTCTTCCTGAGTCAGTCACAGGAACTGTCAAAATAATGGACTCTATAATTATTAGTTAGATTTTTTTTGGGGGGCAAATTAGTCTACATCAAGCATGAAGGGGCTCGGGGATGACACCTTCTGCCATTGTTTGGATATTATAAATGAAAAATACGGAGCTGAATCGGACCAATCTGAAGGCTGATAGCTCGACTCATCAAATTATAAAGCTAAATGTAGAATAAATTATATATCACGATGCTCCAATTAATCAGTCAAATGCTGAAAAATATTCATCTGACTTCTAAAAATTGAATGAGTTGAAGATACAGAATCATACTTTTGTTTTGATTTATTGTTTTGTTTGTTGTTCTTTGCATAAATTTGTGATTTGGATCGCCGTGTATTTGTTTTTTAAAGAATTGTGATGAAGCTCGAAGCGTGACATTTTTGTCTCTGATGGACTAAACTTTTGCTTTTGCATTTCTGCCCTGACTTTTCTCGTTACTTCTCTACACTGAGCTTATTTTATTATTGATTTATTGGTTGTCGAGGTTAAAGATTCACGCCTCGAGTTTGTTGTAGCTTCTGTTGAAGGTCGATGAATTTCAAACACTTCCTCCCAGTTCATTGTTTTTGTCTTTTAAAAATTCCAAAACAGGAAAGTTAGAAATATGTGTTATGGTTGTCCTCATTTCAAAATCAAACCATTAAACATTTTAGCTTGAAATGTCAGTGAGTGGATTGACGTGTTTCAGTGTAAAACTACAGTTGACAAAATCTTCACTTTCAGTTCTGTGTGAACATTTATTTTGCCTCCACTTTAGCTTTAACAAACCCTTCTCCTCTCTCCATCTCTTACTGCTTTTCCATGTGACGTACATGTGTGTAAGTGTGTAACAGGCGTCCGCTCTCTTGTGTCTTGTTTTCCAGCTGGTGAGAAGGCCATCGTTTGCGACCAGTGTGGCGCCCAGTTCCAGACAGAGGAATCCCTGGAGGCTCACCGACAGATCCACACCGGTATGAACACACACACACACACACACGCACACACACACACACACAGCCAGACACATCATCCTGACACCGTGGACATAAACAAAAAGATTACGAGCTCCACTGCTGTATCAACATGCTGCTCCACCTGATTTTGTTCTGCACGTACGTAGATCCTGGATTTAAGATGATGACCTTATTTTGACGAGACAAATTATTTAAAAAATAGCAGAGAAAAGGTCAAAGTAGCGAGATGTCTACGTTCTGTAATGAGATCAAATTCAAACTGAGAAAAACTGAGATCACCCCCCCCCCTCCCCCCACCACCACCGCTCTCTGATTCACACTCGCAATGTGTTTGTATATTTTCACAAATCAGCATGCGCGTTGTGGCGTGTTGTTGTTGTTGTTGTTGTGGTGGTGGTTGATGGTGATGGTGGTGGTGCGCTCGTTCAGCCTTCTCTCCCTAACTGGATCCATGGATTGACACATAGATGGATAACATCATCTTGGATTAGTCCCACTCGCCCTAAATCAAGACAGACCCAACAGTAATCAACAAACCGGGAAAGCTTGGCAGGGCGATGTTGTTTATCAGTTCTCGGCTATGAAGATGGGAAAGAGGAGGATGATCTAGGTGCCAAGATGTAAATAGGAAGAAGTAAATCCCCCTTCAACAGATGTGTGATGGCTCAGAACAGTTTCACTGCTGGTGATGAACACTTTAATTTGGGGGGGGGGAGGAACAACGTCTCAAACTTCCCCCCGCTTCGTTATGGAGGTGGTGTGCTTGGGGCGGAGGTATGTGCTGGAGGATTCGCTGTGCATCATGCATGTATGCATGTGTGTGTGTGTGAGTCCTTCCATCCAGAGTTTCTGTCTATTGAACAATCTGGACAATCACAGCAGATTGAGTATAATTATTTCCCAGCATTACCGGCCTCACAGTTAAGTTCTGTACACTACCATACTACTGTTAAAAGGGGGGTTGATGGATAGTGTTGTTCAGTAATGTGTAAATGAATAATTCTAATGGGTAGAGTAGAATTATAACACAATAATAACAAATACAAATAAGCTTTGGCTTCGTGCTCGTATTTTTTTAAATATTGATTTTCAGTCCAGTTCAAATTTTGCTTTAAAGGTGATTCGAGAAGAAAAGCCACAGAATCAGGATTCATCCTCTGGGGAATATTAATGTCCACAGCACGTTTCTTAGTAATCCAGTCATTAGCTTGTGATATTTCTGCATAAACGTGACGTATTGCACTGGGAGTGAGAGTGGAGGAAAGCTCGTGGCGTGTCCAGAATAACAGCGGTTTATCCTCTTGGGTGCAAGATCTCCGGCAGATTTCCTCAAACAAAGTCAGATGAGCGAAGAAGAGAGAGCGCTGCTGAAGCACATCCACACCAGAAAACCCATCCCCGAAATAGCCGCACATCATCATTATCATCATTTGTGTTTTGTCCTTCGTCTGAAGCCGTGACCCTCAGGCTGCCAATATCAGCTCCCATTGGGTGGCTCCACTTTTTCTTTGCAGCTACTCATACCCCCCCCCACACACACACACACACACACACACACACACATTCTTCCTTAACATTTGAGTGGGGAAGGTGGGGCGGTGTTGTCAGGATTTTTATTTTCTTGGGGGGGGTTACTCCTGAGGGGCATGCCCTCAGCCAATCAGCTCACCAGAGGTAGAGAAGGGTTAAATGAGGCTAATGATCCAACAGCCATAACAGCGGAAAGGAGCACTCTAAATATAGGCATTCTAGTCTGGAACGAATGGAAGGGGTTGGGGAGGGGGGAGGTGAGCGGAGCGGGCGTGGGGGGGCGGGCGGTCGGGCAGCAGCCGCAGCAGCCAGGGCCAGACGTGTCTTCCTGCCAGACAACTGGAGCAGCAGCAGCAGCAGTAGCAGTAATAGTATAGTAGTCATCCATGTGTTCAGCCCCTGTGAGGGATCAACGTTTGAAAAATGGGCTCTGGTGAAATATGACAAGGCAGTTTCACAGCACTGTCTGATTCTCACTTTCAGTTTCTCTTTCCTCGTGATATTTATGCCGCAGTTCACCTACATCACGACATTCCCCGGCTCTGGGTTTCAACATTTGACATCCCTATTCTGAAGGCACGGCCCATCGTTTCAGTGTTAACGCCTTGTCATCGCTGCGCCACAAATCAATACACATAATATGTTTCTGTCGGCGTCATTATAGAAGCCCAAGGTCAATTGGCATACCGCTAATTAAGTAACCTATAATTAACATATTCTCGTTGTATTTTTAAATCAATTAATAATCAATATAAGTATCTCTAACAGTCATTTGAATTGTAGTTTTCCACACTGCTCTGGGATCAGCAGAGGTTTTCTTTGTGCTGCAGATCCTGCTCACTTGTGGCAGACAATGTGTTTATTATTGCCTCGTCTGAGTGTGTGTGTGTATGTGTGTGTGTGTGTGTGTGTGTGTGTGTGAGTGTGTGAGAGAGTGAATGAGTGAGTGAGTGAGTGAGTTAGTGTGTGTGTGTGTGTTATTACATATGGTGACATTCAAAGGTTAAGTATTATTCATGCGCCGAGCTCCACAGTGAGTCGACGGTTGATAGCATTTAGCCAATTGGTCTGTTTCCAGCAGGGAATGACTGATGACATGATGATGATGAGAGCTGGAGACGTAAACAAACAAAGTCCCTTCCTGTGTCTCTCACTCTTTTTAACTTTGTGGAGACTTATTATGAACTTGTCTGTTTTCGTCTCCTCTATTGTCCAGTGGGAGCTACTTGTACAACCACGCGTGTGCTAGGTCTTCTGCAGTCAGGCGAGGGGACACACCGCGGGCGCAGCTGCACATCACGCTTCCGTGTACTGCAGGAATCGTACTCAGTTCATTTGACACGTGACGGGCCGATCCCTGCAGCTCCGGCCCCGCTAGGATGTTGCCTTTTTTTTTTTTTTTGAATACCGAATTTTGGAAGTAGCAACTGTGGATCATAGAGAGTTATTGTTGAGGAAGAAAAATATCTTTCTGCCCACTGGGGCACCTTCAAAACTACAGCTAACAGGTCAGTCATGAGAGTGAGTCTGAAACAAAGCTTTCAGGATTTATCCTCCATGTGGAAACTTTACTTTTTCATGGTCCTAAGAGGATGAACGAATGTTTATAATGACCTTGTGGACTTTCTTTATTCAGTGCTTTTTACATCTAAGCCTGAGAAAAGCTCAGAGAAAAGCTTGATTGTTAGTATTTTTTTATGCTACAAAAGCCCCTCTTTTATATCATGGGGTGTAATGAATATGTTTCCTCTTGTGCCTGCTAGCACTGTTTTTTTATTCTATGCTTTAGATATGCCCTTCTTTATGTGTCTAGCAATGTAAATAACGATCTTTCATCAAAATATACAGGGAGAGACGAAACCAAAGAAAGCTGCATACAGAGGCAACAGCAGCTCCACTGGACAGTTGTGTGTTAAATCAGTTTGAGCTGGAAAGCTTAACAAACATGGATTTATTTATACAGAAACGTCTGTGTGTACAGTACCCAAGACGCAAAACATCAGAGAGGGCGTGCGGTGGGAGCAGGGGGTTACTGTTGGCCATCAAAGCCAGATTTGATCTCTGCCTGCCTCTTGGCAGCGCTTCAGCCCTTGGCTAATGTTCTCTGATGACAATATTTGGCCTCTGAAACTGTGGCTGTTTCTTGCCGCTTTGAATGGGAACTATTGTGGCATCTCCTCTGTCGGCCTGATCAGCTGCAGTCTGACTCAACCTCTGTCTCTTTCTCACTTTGTCTGCCTTCTCCTGCTTTTTAACACGACTGCGCATGCTTGGTGTATCACACGCTCCTCTATGTTACTCAGCGGCTCATGTGTGCGGGACGTATAGCGGCTGGTTATCCAAAACCAGCGGACAGTTTTGGAGGCCGCTGAGGCATTCCTGGAGTTGCCGTCATTCCTAACGGACAAGCTCTTTTGCATGGGGGTGGGGGTAAGGGGGGTGGGGGGGGGTTTGACTGGTCAGGATGCCAGGGGAACGAGCAGCAAAACATCATGTGGCTGTTTTTACCCTAGTGAACTCGTGCAAATACACATGCACAAACACTCACTGCAAACTATCCCCTACTTTGGCAGTGTTGTGCAACAAATACACACTCGCATAAAATCCAGGAAACGCTGTATTCAGGAGCCGAAGTCACTTGTGAGTTGCATTACATCTACTCGCAGCTAATTTTTGTCACATATTTCCCCAAATTGGATGGCATCGCATCAGACACCCCCCCACCACCACCACCACCACCACTACCTCCCCCTCTCTAAACTGGGACTCGCCTCAGGGCTTTTGTAAGCAAAGAACACAGTCTGTCTGGCTTTCATGGAGCTCTCATCCTTAAAGAATAACACTGCTGTCATTTAGAATCGTAGCCCATTTAGTACCGTCTCTGTCTCATGTCCTCCAATTGTTATGCAATGTATGCACTGAGACTTCGACTCATTTTAAAAGGCCTAGCCCTGCGCTCACGGCAGCCTTCCCAGGAAACACAACATGTAAGGCCGTGCTTACACAAAGGATTTCCTGGCGGAGGCTTCCATTTCATCATGTGCCTGTCAGGTGATTGACAGATTACTGATATGAAATCACTCCAGACTGCTTTTTTACTTCAAACATATCATCGGGGCAAGTGTTAATGTCAGGAAAGAAAACGTGTAAAAAAAAAATAAATAAATAAAAGGCTAATACCTGCAGTTATTACTAAAAAATGAATAAATAATAAGATTCAGAAATGTTGTACCAGATGTCATGGCCCTGGATGGTCATCTGAATTCAGATTTTTCAGTTTGGTAGCTTCCAAACCAAATAAGAGGCAAAGAACATCGATTTAACATCTAGTGAGTTTGTGTTTTTGTATTTCCTACTGTAATGCATTTTTTGAATTTCTGTATGTATCCAGCAGCAGCAGCGTACAACATTCCTGAAGCAGGACTAATATAATCAAAGGCCGGGGCCGAGCTGGACCTTTTTTGAAG